GGCTGAGTGGAGCTCCCCCTGTGGGAGTGCACTGACCACCAGGGGGCAGCTCCTGTATTGAGCATCAGCCCCCTTGTGGTCAGTGTGTGTCATAGCATCCAGTCGTTCCACAGTTTGGTTGATTTGCATATTATGCTTTTATTATATAGGATTATCCTCCTTACGGTTTCCTAGTGGAACAATATTTGCCTCCCTGTACCTCCCTCCCTTATTAGATATGAAAAACATATAACTTGGGTCTGCTAATCTTTCCCACCTACTAAACAATGATATTCTGATTATCAGCTATGATATTGAAGTTAATGTTTTATTGGCCACACACTGGTCTTCTACTATCAATATAAGCTTTGGTACATTTTTTCAGGCTGCATCTATTATAAAGGACTATCTTGGACAAACCCCTCCAAGAACACCTCCCTAATAATTCCCCTGGTAGAATTATATACAGTTCTAATCTAGTTGAGTATTTTAGATGAGTATTGTTTAACTATAAGAATGGGTGAAACTAACTGCCCAGAAGAAAAATCAGAGTTTCTGCATAATAAAGTAGTAGAGAGTCTTAATTCACCTGGCCAAACATATCATAAGGTACAAGTGACAGTGGATGAAGGAGGAAAACATATAATTAGCTTAATAAAAATTATGATGATACATGTAAAGGGATCTGGTTGACTGGGATGCTTGTTCCTCTCAGACTTTTCCTTGTCTAGTATTAGACATTTTCTGTTTCTAATCAGTGTTACTGGTTTATTATTGTTGCTTTTGTTCCTGGTATGTAAATGTTATATTAGATGCAGAAAAACAAAACTTAAGACAAGCAGCAAAAAGAGTCGGATCATGGCGGCTCAAAAATTAGAAATGATCCAGAATATGTTTTAACAAGGACATATAGGATCTGACTGCCTCCCATTTACCTGCCTTTTATTTTGAATAATAATAATAATAATAATAATTCGATCTTGAAAGCCATCTAAGGTTATGGTCTTGCTCCATCCCCAGTGGTCCACCCTGCTCAGCAAGACAAGCCGACACTGAGACATCCTGGGAATGAGCCTTCCCGCCACTGTGGGGCTCCGGGTTCCATCATCCAGCTGAAAGGTTGGTCATCAGTGCATCCTTTGGTATTATTGATTGAATGTATATAAAATGATTTTTATATTGTTACTAGAGGCCCGGTGCATGAGATTCATGCACTGGGGGGCAGGTTCCCTCAGCCCAGCCTGCGCCCTCTCGCAAGACATCCCTCTCACAGTTTGGGACCCTTCACTCTTTACCACCCACCAGCCATGAGCCCGGCTTCTGGCTGAGTGGAGCTCCCCCTGTGGGAGTGCACTGACCACCAGGGGGCAGCTCCTGTATTGAGCATCAGCCCCCTTGTGGTCAGTGTGTGTCATAGCATCCAGTCGTTCCACAGTTTGGTTGATTTGCATATTATGCTTTTATTATATAGGATTATCCTCCTTACGGTTTCCTAGTGGAACAATATTTGCCTCCCTGTACCTCCCTCCCTTATTAGATATGAAAAACATATAACTTGGGTCTGCTAATCTTTCCCACCTACTAAACAATGATATTCTGATTATCAGCTATGATATTGAAGTTAATGTTTTATTGGCCACACACTGGTCTTCTACTATCAATATAAGCTTTGGTACATTTTTTCAGGCTGCATCTATTATAAAGGACTATCTTGGACAAACCCCTCCAAGAACACCTCCCTAATAATTCCCCTGGTAGAATTATATACAGTTCTAATCTAGTTGAGTATTTTAGATGAGTATTGTTTAACTATAAGAATGGGTGAAACTAACTGCCCAGAAGAAAAATCAGAGTTTCTGCATAATAAAGTAGTAGAGAGTCTTAATTCACCTGGCCAAACATATCATAAGGTACAAGTGACAGTGGATGAAGGAGGAAAACATATAATTAGCTTAATAAAAATTATGATGATACATGTAAAGGGATCTGGTTGACTGGGATGCTTGTTCCTCTCAGACTTTTCCTTGTCTAGTATTAGACATTTTCTGTTTCTAATCAGTGTTACTGGTTTATTATTGTTACTTTTGTTCCTGGTATGTAAATGTTATATTAGATGCAGAAAAACAAAACTTAAGACAAGCAGCAAAAAGAGTCGGATCATGGCGGCTCAAAAATTAGAAATGATCCAGAATATGTTTTAACAAGGACATATAGGATCTGACTGCCTCCCATTTACCTGCCTTTTATTTTGAATAATAATAATAATAATAATAATTCGATCTTGAAAGCCATCTAAGGTTATGGTCTTGCTCCATCCCCAGTGGTCCACCCTGCTCAGCAAGACAAGCCGACACTGAGACATCCTGGGAATGAGCCTTCCCGCCACTGTGGGGCTCCGGGTTCCATCATCCAGCTGAAAGGTTGGTCATCAGTGCATCCTTTGGATTAATTTATGACCAAAAGGGGGATGTGTGGACAAAAAGGGGCCACCTGCTAACCTGGCTAACTCAGGGAAGGGCCTGTGTGTTGGTCTTGCAAACTCAGAGACCTAAAGTAACCACCAAGTCTGGTCTGAAATTAAAAACTTCTAATTAAAAAAGCAGTTCATAGTGAGCAGTCATGTCCCAGGCCAGTGTTGTCCCTGACAAAGGTCAGCTTCGATCTTTACGGAGCCTTTTCTCTTTTTGCATCTGAGATAACACCTGTGAAAGGTCAGGGTAACTTGTAACTTCCCTTTCCCCGTCCCCTCAGGGCGCAACAAATGCTGCCAGGGTGCAGATCACAAATCCCCTCCTTGTATTGTTCTCTGTTCATTGTTGACCGTAAACTGTCCTGCACCCACCTGTGTGAAAGCAGCATGTGTCTATCATTTCCCTCCTTATCCAATCCCAGAGGTGTCCCCGCCGTGCTTTCTCCCGCCTCCCTCACCGGCACCAGTGGATTTCATGTCGCCCACTTACTCTCCTCCTTGGATGGTAATGTATAAAACACGGTGAAAAACACCTTTCTCCGGGATATTGTCTCAATGGGATGAGATTCTGCTTCCCGGCCATTGTCGACGGTTTGGCTCTGTTAATGTAAAAAACAACATTCAAACTTGCAAATAATTTTTTGTGAGTTTATTTGAACCAAATTGGCTAGGGCCACCAGTTGTTAATATTTAGCCAAATTTGGTTTATTTCTTTCTTTAAAAACAACAACAACAGTGTTTCTTTGGAACCATTCAAGAACAAGTTCCAGCCATTATGCCTCTTTACCCCTAAATACTTCAGTGTGTGTCTCCTAAGAACAAAACATGTTTCTTGCATAACTGCAGTAGTTATCAAATTCAGGAAACTTAACATTTATTAAACACTATCACTGATACTCAGATTTGAAAAATTATTTTGATGACATCCTTCATAGAACTTGTTCCCAATTCAGGACCTAGTTCAGTGCATGTGCTTGTCACATCTTCTTGTTTCATAAAGGCCCTGGGATTTTTTCCCTGCCCCTGGGAGCAAGGCCCCTTGAACCAAGGTCAGGGGCGGCTGCGTGCTTGTGACCTGGGGCACCAGACCAGGAGTTCTAGGCTGGGCCCTTGCTCTTGACTTTGAAAAGTTGGCAGGGTCTCAGTTTCTCCTATCTTTTTTAAATTTTATTTTCTGAAAACATACCTATTTATTTTCATGTTTAATGTTTACATCTTTAATTCACTTTGAGTTATTTTTATATGGTATAATGTTGTTGTATCGCAAATCAGCGAGCTGGACAAGACGCCTTAATGAGCCAATTAGTTAGGAGTCATCTTTATTGTGCGCAGGTTCAGAGCAGATTACCTCTGTCAAATTCTGAACCAAAAGCAGGAGGGAGTATTTCCTTTTTATATCCTTCTAGTTCTTTGTGTAAGTTATTTTTGTAGACAGTGTGTAACCTTGAGTACATATCTATACAGGCATCTGGCATCAATATCAGCGTATCAGTTAGATGGCTAGCTTGCAAAGTCAGAGAGTTAAGTTTATCTTTTCTATTATTCAAGCTAAAAACAAAGTTATTTTACAGTCTAAAAACAACAGAGTTAACCTACAGAATAAGAGACTAAGAATAACAGAGTAGTTCAAACAGCAGTTTTTCCAAAGGAGGGATTACTATGCTTCACTGTAAGGGTCTAACTTTTTTCTGTTGCATGTGTATATCCAGTTTTCCCCATAACATTTGTTGAAGTGTCTGGGGGTTGTGTAATCTTGGCATCTTTGTCAAAAATCATTTGGTTATAGCCCTAGCTGGTTTGGCTCAGTGGATAGAGCATTAGCCTGAACTAAAGGGTCCTGGGTTCAATTCCGGTCAAGGGCACATATCTTGGTTGTAGTCTCCTTTCCAGTCAGGGTTCGTGCAGGAGGCAATGAATCACATTGACATTTCTCTCTGTCTTTCCCTCTCTCTTCCACTCTCCCTAAAAATCAATAGGGGAAAAAATATCCTTGGGTGAGGATTAAATAAAAACAAAAAACAATTGGTGAATCTGGGTGAAGGGCATATAGGGACTGTTTGTGTGATTCTTGCAACTCCTCTGTAAATTGAGATTATTTTAGAATAAAACATCCTATCTAATAAAGAGGGACTATGCTAATTGACCCTCACACCATCGCAAAGATGGCGGTGCCCACAGCCTCAAGATGGCGGTGCCCAGTCCCCTCAGCCACGCACCTGCCTCTGGAGTCCCGTCCCCTCAGCAGCCCCCCAGCCACCCAGGGCCGCCCAAGGTGTAGGCAAGCCTCGGATGGCGGCTGCCTGGCCACCCAAGGCTCAGGTAACCAGGGCCGGCCGAGGTGCTGCCTGCAGTGGCAGCAGCAGAGGTGTGGTGGGGCGTCGCCTTCCCAGATCGCCGAGTCACCTCCCGCCCCTGAGGGCTCCCGGACTGTGAGAGGGGCAGGCCAGGCTGAGGGGACCCCCCCCCTCCAGTGCATGAATTTTCATGCACCAGGCCTCTAGTTCTTAAATATTTTTAAAACTATAAAAAAAGATGTAAACATTAAAACTACAAAACTTCTGGAAGAAAACATAGGAGAAAAGCTTCAAGACATTGGATTTGGCAACAATTTCTTGGATGTGACACCAAAAGCACAGGCAACAAAAGTAAAAATAGCAAAATAGGACTTCACCAAGCTTAAAAACTTCTGTGCTTCACAGCAAACAATTAACAGAAGGAAAAGACAACCAATGGAAGAAAATATTTCTAAACCATATATGTATCTAATTAGGAGTTAATATCTAGAATATATGAGGAAGTTCTACAACTCAACAAGAAAAAATCCAATAACACAAACTAAGCAAAGGACTTGTATATACAGCTCTCCAAAGATGTTATACCAAAAGCCAACAAACATATGAAAAGATGCTCGACATCACAAATCATAAAAGTAGTGCAAATCAAAACTGCAATGAGATGTCACCTCACACTTCTTAGGATGGCCATTATCACAAGAACAGAAAATAACAAGTGTTGATGAGGATGTGGTGAAATTGGAACCTTTATACCTATTGGTGGAAATGTAAAATGGTGCAGCCATTGTGAAAAACAGTACAGAGGTTTCCAACAGTTAAAAATAAAACTACCATATTACCCAGCAATTCCCCTTCTGGGTATATATTCAAAATAATTGAAAACTACATCTTAAAAGATAGCTGCACACCAATGTTCATCTCAGCATTATTTTTAATAGCCAAGAGGTGACCTAGTCAGTTTGGCTCAGTAGATAGAGCGTCATCCTGCAGACTGAAGGGTCCTGAATTCAACTCCGGTCAAGGGCACGTACCTCGGTTGGTTGGTACGTACCTCGGTTGGTTGGTACGTACCTCGGTTGGTTGGTACGTGCCTCGGTTGGTTGGTACGTGCCTCGGTTGGTTGGTAGGGGCCTCGGTAGCAGGGTCCAGTGTAGGTCTGGTGTGTGCATGATGGTATTTCTCTCTGTCTTTCCCTCTTCCCATCTCTCTAAAAATCAATGGAAAAATATCCTTGGGTGAATATTAAAAAAAAAAATCAAATCATTTGGTTATATAATCAACAGTGCATTTCTGGGCTCTTTATTCTGTTCTATTGGTCTATAGATCAGTTTTTTTGCCAGCAAAACCTCATCTGGTAGTGTATTTTGAAATCAGGAAGTGTGATGCCTCCAACCCCTCCTCCCCCAAAGGTTTTTTTTGTCTATTTAGGTTCCCTTGAGATTCCATATAATTTTTAGAATTCTTTTTTATTTTTGCCAAAAAAAAAAAAAAAAGCCATTTGGATTTGATAAGAATTGCACTGAGTCTGTAGACCCTTTTGAGCAGTATGGGCATTTTGAAAATATTGTTTATATTTGTATACTAAAAATATTGTTTATACTTGTATACTAGAGGCCCAGTGCATGAAATTCTTGCATGGGTAGGGTCCATAGGCCTGGCCAGTGATCAGGGCCAATCAGGTTCCCTGCTTCCCTGCCTCCTCCTTCCCTCACTCTCTCAGTGCCTGGCCGAAGCTGCCGCTGGTCGCCTGCCATGTTCTGCACTGCCCCCTGGTGGTCAGCACACATCACAGCAAGCAATCGAACTCCTGGTCTCCAGGTTGAACTCCCGAGGGGACACTTTGCATATTAGCCTTTTATATATAGATTCTTTGATTTATTTTAACATTGTTTTATAATTTTCAATGTGCAAGTCCTTAACCTCCTTGGTTAAGTTTATTCCTAAATATTTTGTCCTTTTAAATGGGGTTATGTTTTTAATTTTCTTTTCAGATTGGTCATTGTTTTTCTTTGTTATAGTAGAAACGGAATTTTAATATAGGGTGTCCCAAAATTCACGCAAGATTTGAATTTTGCGTGAGCATTAACAACAACAACAACAAAAAATAAAAGCCTAATTTTACTTGGTTTATTGAATCAGATTCTAATATCTGTGGCCCTTTGATTTCAATCCCTTCTATTTGATAAGCATCACCAAGTACCAATTATGGCCCAGGAGCAGGGACAATGAAGACCAATGAAGACCAATGAAGACCACGGCTTTGCATATGTGCCAGCAAAGTCGTGGAGGCCATTTACCTGATGTCCTATTCTATACATAACCCTATACTGTATACTTTATGAATCAATAAAAAATTTACAATTTTTAATTATAAACCTGTGTTTTCTATCAAAATTACTTCTTGCGTGAATTTTGGGACACCCTACATAATATTAAAGTCTAGCATTTGCTATTGACAACAAATAAATATTGCCTCTCCCCAACCTGTAAACATGTCTTTTGCCTTTTATACAAATTTCAGCCCCTCCCTTCCTTCCCCCATTTCCTCCTTTAATAGGGCAGCCCCCTCCCAGCCTCAGGAAGCCCAGGTGCCATGGTGTGGTGAGTTGCACTTGCAGTGTCAGGAGGTTTGACGTTGGTGGGACTTGGCTGAGACCATCCTCACTCCCCAGGTGCAGAGTGTGGTCCATGAAGAGGGTCTCTCTCCTTGGAGGGAGGGCTGGGTGGGGAGTGGTCGAGACCCCTCACTAGTGTTTGGCCCTGATGATGGGATCTTTGGTGTAGCTCTCGGAAGATGGCAGGATGGGAGGAGGGAGTGAATATGGTATGGTTTTACAATGTTCAGAGATACTTTTGTGACTTTGGGAGCGCATTATAGTATTTTTCATATAGGTTTTGGAAATTTCTTGTTAAGTTTACATCCAGGGATTTTGTCTTTAAATTTTTTCCCTTTCCTCTTCTATTCTTCCCCTCCCTTCATGCTTCCTCCTCCCTTCTTTCTCTTTGCTTTGGCTAATGGCTTCATCTGTTGTTTTTCTAACTTACCACTTTACCAAAATCTCTTACTTTTTGCAGTAGTTTGTTAACTTTTTGAAATGTTCAGGTATATAATCATAACTCTGAAGCTTCTTTAAATTCATATGCCTTTAACATGCCTTCAGGATCTGTCCTGTGATTGCTTTGACAACTGCCTCAACCTCATGAACAGCAGTAGGGCGCGCAGGCATCCTTGTTTTGTTTCTGCCTTTAGTACAAAGCTCCTAGTATTTCCCAATGAACTAAAATGCTAGTTTTTGGACTGAAATGTATAAGTATTTTATCATGCTGAGAAGTATCGATCAATTCTTGTTTTATTGAGTGCTTTTAGCATATTTATATTAGTTTCTTAAGACTGCTAAACCCACTTAGCAAGACTCTGTTACAACTGGACAACACAGAGATGAAGACAGAAGTTGAAGAGCAGAGGAGCTCAGGAGAACCGAGCAGAGTTAAGGAGAGGATCTTCGTCTCTGTCCGCCTCAATGGGTGGTTGGCACTTCTGGAATAAACCCAGCATGGGCATCCTGTATCATTATTTTAAATTTGCTATTGGATTCTGTTTGCTGATAATTTTATATAAGACTTGGACTTTAAATTTCAAATATTTTATATGTGAAATTGGCCTGTGGTTTTCATTTTTGGTGTAAACTGGAAATGTTTGTGGTATTATACTCACTTTATGAAATCAATTGGAAGGTTTTTCTTCTTTTTCTATGCTTTCTATAATATGCATGGCATTGTGATTTTCTGATACTTAACAGTTTGGTAGAATACCCTTGTGAACAGATTTGTGTGTGGTGCCCTTTTCCAGGGGCATGCCAATTCAAATATTTTCTCTATTTTTCTAAAGTCATTAGAGTCTGTTTGGACTTCTGTGTCTACAGGATTAATCTGGGAATGCTGTATTTATACACAGAGTCCACTGCATCTAAGTTTCAAATCATTTGCTGAGTTGTTATAATGCTTCTTATGATTTTTAAAAAGATATTTTTTTTGGTAGGGGATTATCCTATCTAATAAAAGAGAACAATGGTAATTAGCCATACCTCCGCTACCCTTCCCATTGGCTAATCAGGGCGATATGCAAATTAACTGCCAGCCAAGATGGTGGCCAGCAGCCAGGCAGCTTGAAGCGAACATGAGGCTTG